TTATTTGACCAAATATAAAAAACTAGCATTTATTATGATATAAACTAGTTATGAAATATACTTTCATAATCTATCAATTTGGAGACATAAGTATGAATAAATTTACTATAATTTTGATCATGTTTAAACAACTTAACACTTCTGCAGGCTGCTCCCGACACGTATCGACCCGGCGTGAGGCGACGCCTACCTCCCCCGGCAAATCGGCGATATGGATGGCCCGGCCGGCGCCCCGATGTGATTGGATCTGCACCTGCCATTCCCGACAAGCGTACCGTACCTTCCCACTCCAACAGATACTGTTGCTAAGGCCCGATTAGATGAAACCCAAAACCCAAAATTTTTCAAGATTTTCCCGTCACGTCGAATCTTGCGGCACATGCATAGAGTACTAAATGTAGACGAAAAAAAAACTAATTACACAGTTGGCCGAGAAATCGTGAGACGAATCTTTTAAGCCTAAATAGTCCATAATTGGATAATTTTTGTCAAATATAAACAAAATTGCTACAGTAACCAAAAGCCAAAAAATTTCGGAACTAAACACTTCCTAAGTAGTCTATGCACCCATATCGCCAATGTGCAGTGCAGAGATGAATGGGGCTATTCAGATAGAGCAAAGCTTATCTGCATGCGGACATATTATGTTAAAATAATATTAGTAGCATGCAATGCTTTGCTTTGTAGAGGAATCAGAATGATGGAGGGCTGCACGCCTGCATATGCTCACCTGGCAGCACAGCAGGCGCCCTCCAGCATGACCTCCCTTGCTTCCTAGGCTAAAGCCTCGATGTCTGGTGATGATCACTTCTTTCTTGAGAGAAAAACAAACAAACAAACAAACAATGTCAATCTATAAATCTTACTTTGAGATAATTTCCATGATATCAGGTGGACCTCATCTTTTCTACTAGTCGCCTTCGGCAATGATTCCATGCATGCTTGATGGTGAGAATTTTTTTTAAAAAAAAGACAGACAAATGCTAGAGTGGGTTCACGTAGCTGTGAGGTGGAATTAAATTGGGTGGATCCTGGGTTCAAACCATCACCTGTGCACCCCAAAGGTGGATTATTGACACGTGTACAGTACCAAATCTCACGTCACAGTACGGACCAAAAAATAAGTCAAAATCACGTCCAATAATTATTGTGTCTGCAAATCACTATTCACATAAACATGGATTCGTGAGGGGTTTGCCCTGCATGTTTGTCCTCGGCTTTCTAAATTTATCCTCCACGCATGTTGCCTGGTGTCCACGTGATACTCTGTTCTGCCACGTGTCGATCATCTACCATGGGGGTGCACAGGTAATTTAATTCCGCTGTGAGATGGCAAGGAGCGAAACAGTCGGCGAACCGATGCTCTTTGGGTCGTCTATGAATCTGGACCGTACGAGTCTACAGGCTCCCCTGCCCAAGCAATGGTCCGGATGTGACGCGAAGCCCAACCATAGAACATGGCCTAGTTTCACTTTCATCGCTCTGGACTCTGGTTGCCCGACCCCACCCGCATCCCCGCAGCCCTGCCTTTGTGGGTGAGGGAAAGCACTAGCAGTTTAGCACCACATCGGCTACCGAGAGTGGAGCACGGAGGGAGGGAGCTATAAAACAAGCGTCACGGCACCAGGGCAACTCACACCTTTCTCGGCCTTTTGCTATATATAAAATGAGGGTGCCTTTCATTTTTGCTATGCATGTGACCCTTGTTTTATATACCTATGATTTTTGATATGCATGTGATCCTTGTTTTATCTTTACTCATTGCACGGCTAGCCGGCTAGTTATTAGAAATAAAAAACACAACCACCCCACCTAGTCTTACAATGAGTAAAACCAAATATAAATAATGATTCCATGCTTATTTTGGAAAATTATTGATTAAATAATGATTTTATGCTTGTACTTTATTCTGGAAAATTATTGATAGTAGGCTGCTAGAAACGTAAGTTGACACCGTGAAACGAAAATCCAAGAAAAAAAACCAAACTCGTTTTGGAGCCAAATCGGCAAGTTCAAAAGTAAAAAGGGCCAAAAAAAAACTAAGCACAACTCTTTAGGGCCAATAAACTAATTTTCTCAAGCTAAATTGTTTCCTGGCTGGTCTCTTGGTTTGGAGGTTGGGCTGGGCCTTACGGTCCTTCTGCCTCTGGTGCCGCTTACCTCGTTTGCTCTGCTGACTTCTGGACCTTTAAAATTTGGGCCGTCGATTAATGTGAATAGCGCTTCGATTCGATTATGGGTCTGTTCGCTTCTGAATTTTGAAGGAATCTGGATGATTTGGAGGAATGCTGGAGGAATTTGTGAGAGAAAAATCACTATTCCGGATGAAAAAATAAACGGATCAAGCTGAGTTTAAGGGCACGTGAATTTGTGAGAGAAAAATACTATCCCGCATCATCAATCTAGGTGAGTAATGAAATACTAGCAAAATAATAATATCCCCTCTCACAAAAAAAAGCAAAATAATATCTCCGTGGTTCATTATAAATCCCTGTGGTTAATTATGCACTCCATCTGTTGTGGTGAACCAACTAAGGTCTTATTTAGATGTAGTTGGATTCACATCAATTCACATGTGTTGAGATGGATTGATGTGGATTGAGATGAATCTATCTATACGAATCCAACAACATCTAATCGGTGATTTTAACTTGCGCACATCTAAGTAAAAAAAGCTCTAATCTTTTCGCTGAACATGCGCACGCGCATAAAGCAATAGAAAGACATTCGGATGGACCAACGGAGGAGATGAGTGCGGCGTTCCCCTCTTTTCTCTCCTGCCTTCCATGCAGAAGCACCCAAGTACAGAGAGTCGGAGCCTCTTGCTTCCCAGCACGGCAAAGGTTCCTTCCACGACGGCTCTGTTTGCTTCGCTGATAAAACAAGCCGAAATATGTTTCAGTTGATTTGTTGTGAGCGAAAAACTACTATTTTAGTTTAAAAATAAGTTGAAAAATACGGATTATAACACAAACGAATCGAGCTGACGTTTGCTGAAAGAAAGGGTGACAAGCCTGTCCACGAAAGGGGGTTGATCCACGCACAGGAATCAAGACAATGCAGAGGTCGGTTGCCAGCCTCTTACCGCCCGACAGCCAGGGTATGATAGTGTTGTTGAATTATGCGCTACAGGTTTACGTACTTTGTAAAAAAAAAAAAGGAATCTTGGGAATTATGCGCCAATTTATTCGTACTTTGGAAGTTTGTATTCTAATTCAGTAACTCAATATCAGGATTCCGAACATCTGTTCCTTGTACATAGACAACTTCCCGCTACTCACTGAATCTAGTATATTTCCATTTAACTTAACATTCAGTAATTCCAGTTAGTAGGCATGTGTCCAACAATTTACAAATCTTATGAACATACTAAGCAAATAGAAATGAAATCGGCATGATTTCTATTATTTCTTGAACACTTGTAGAAGCAGACAGGATGCCCATGCTACATTGTACATACAATAAATAAAAAGTAGTCAGCGCTCACAATGTCTGGTGCCATGTAAAGATAGCCTCCGTATTCAGTAATTAAGCACGACGATCTTGAATTCTGGTGAAACTATATGCACTCTCGAAATGGCACTCGAAAAACAAAAATCCTCAAATCGATCTACTCCTGCTCTGCTCCGGGAGCTTCGTGCAGAGGTTGAGGAGTCACTCTACTACTCTAGAGCATCGACTCTCTGCTGAACTATGTTCAGATGATCCAACTCTGCAGGCGCGCTCTATGTGTGCGCCAATTTCAGTGTGCTAGTTGAGATAATCTTCATGGCAACAGATTTGATCGTGACCTCAGAATGACTGGGGAAGGAAGAACATCTCTTTGAAACTGTTTCCAGAACTTCCTAATGGTCCAAAATGCTTAGGCTTCGGCCTAGTACAATGGACCGAAATCAGACTTCCTAATGGGCTACTAATAGCCCAAGCCGGAAGAGCAAGGCTGGGGCGGCTCGTCTGCCGTCGCCGGCTCGCCGCCAGCCAACGGGACTGCGTTCTCATCCGTGTTCCAGTTCCAAGGCGAGGCATCAGCGATCCATTCTGGGGCATTGTACATACAGCCGCAGCCAGGGATGCTGCAAGTTGATCGCAGCCCTCCCTGGTGGCTGGTGCGCTGGAGCAGTCATGGGATGGGTTGTCACTTGTTAGAGGGAACAAGGGAAGGATAGCTTGGCCCTGTCTTGGAAGCATAGCACAGGCAGTACAGCACAAGCATAATAACGGAGGAGATGGCAGATGAGCGCGGCGTTTCCTATATTCCCTCGTGCATTGCAAAATCACCAACTACAGAGCCTCTTATCTTTCTTCCAAGCACGGCAAAGGCTCCTTTCCACGGTGTTGCTGAAGAAAAAGGGTGGCAAGCCTGTCCAGAAAACGGAGTTCGATCTACAGACAGGAATCAAGACAGGACAAGATCACACTCGAATACTCGATATGTAGAGGTCCGTTGCCAGCCTCCTAGCGACCGACAGCCCGGATATGATGATGGTCTTGTGGAATTCTGCACCACAAGTTCACTTTGTGACATCACATCTTGAGGCAGTGCCCATTTTTTATTGTACATACACTGGATTCTAGTAATTCAGTAAACTCGACATCAGAATTCCAGAACTAACCTGTTCCTTGGTTCAGCCTACCGGCAGCTGTTATGCTTCCATTCAGTAATTCTAGTTGGTATAAGCTGAGGAAGGTACATGTGGCCAACGATTTACAGCTCCAATGAACGTACTAAGTAAACAGAAATGGAGTCGGCATGATTTCCATTATTTCTCCCAACACTTGCAGAAGCAGACATTATGCTCATGCTACATTGTACAATAAATAAAAAAGGCGATAAATAAATAGTCAGCGCTCACAATGGCTGCTGTCATGCAAACCATATACATCAAGAAAAATAAAGCTCAAGCCTCGGTAAGCACAGCAATCTTGAATTCTGTTGAAGCTATGTACACTACTCTCGAAATGGCACTCGTCGAAAAACAAAATACTCAAATGAATCGCTGTTACAGAAGCTTTGTTGGGGACTCTCCAAACTTTGGTGGAGTCATCAGGCTCTTGGTCAGCCATATTGCCGTCTCTCTGGATGACACGGCTCCTTCACCGAATGGCCGAAGAACACCTGCGAGCTCATCGAGCCTCTCCTGCTCCAGGAGCTTCGCGCAGAGCTCGAGGAGTGACTCCAGAGCATCGGCTCTCTGCTGAACTATGTTCAGATGATCCCACTCCGCAGGTGCACTCTCTGCATGCGCCAGTTTTAGTGTGCTAATTGGTGATGATTCCTCTGTTATAGTTGTGTCACACAACTCTGGTTTTGCTGGTGGATAAGAGGGTGGCTTCACATCCTTCTTTTGTTCCTGCACTACTCCAATTGTCAATTCCTCATTTGGTATTGGTGCCTCGTTAAACTTTTGATTTGAAACAGTGACTGGGGCCTCCTCTTTTACATTACTGGTTCTTATAGCTTTAAGACGTATGGTCGCATCAATCTGTTGATCAGTTGTCGCCATCAAGTTCTCCGCTGCATGCTGAAGTGATAGAACATCACTGTTCTGCTGTTCTTTGCTTCTGGCATCAAGATCCACCGGCATTTGCAAAATCAAGGCTTCCTGGGTACCAATAGTTGATACGTCTGAAAAGTTCGTGGAGCTGTCTCTTGCTTCCACAGTGTGCTCTGCTGCAGTTTCTAATGTTTCATTGGATCCATTAGCTTTGACAGGTCGCTTTCTGCCACTGCTTGGCTTCTTTGGTTGCTTGTCTACGAGGTTACTTTTGTTGGGTTTCACTGGAAGATAGATTGGTGAACAGCTGCACGATTCAGCCAGATATGGTTGCAGATGTGGATGCCTCAGCAGCTCCCCAGCCTGTAAAATTTTCAGGGAATGTTAACCTTGTGTCGGCACCCTTGAGGCCTTGACTGAAAAGTTAACTGACTTTTTTAGACTTACAGTAGGCCTATGTTCTGGATTTTTCCTTAGCATGCTCTTCACTATCTGCTTCCTGGGGAAGAAAGGCTCAAGTTTAGTAGATTTTTTCTAATCTATATAATTGGGCAATCACAAAAATGAGATTACAACTCACAGTGCTGATGAGTATATCGGGGGCATTGGAGATATTGAAGATCTATTTATTTTGTTGACTAATGCTGCCATGTCCTTCACAAACAACAAAGGAAAAATGTTTCATGACTTTCCAAGAGACCAAGACACATGCATACATGTTGAAGTATTGTATCATTTGGCTGTGTTGTATCAGCACTTACTGTAGCTTTAAATGCAGGACGGTGTGCTAAAATCTCAAACATACAGCAACCTGACGGTACAAAGAAGCAAAGTATCCAAAGATGTTTAATTCTGTCATACATCATAATACAATAACAGAAACAAACTTTAAGAGACGTAGCATGCGGAGCTCACCAAGTGACCATATATCGGATTTGTATCCATAAGGTATGTCTACTAGTATTTCTGGGCACATATAGTTTGGGGTTCCAACAACCTGAAATATTGCAGATATTTAAATTACCAGTGACAAGGCATTATGGGTTTTGTCAAAACATTACTCTACGTTATTGGGTGGTTAGGATATTCTAGTGGGAATATGCTGAAATTGTGCCGACTTTTTTCAGAATGGCATTTTCCTTTTTTTTTTAAGATCAGTTCTAAATAATGTCACAGAATATCAAATGCCATACAGACATACTGGTGACAACATCAGGTAGAATTTACTGCTGTAAATATATGTTAGTAATTCAGTGTGGGAACATGACTAGTGGAAGAGTTGTGTTCAGTTTCCTAATTCCTACCCAGAAATGTGTTTTTGCCAGCATTATTTACTGATTTGCATTAAAAATCCTTGAGTGAAAAGGGTGAATCCTACCGACGAGGCAAGGTCCTCCATGAGCAGTTTCGCCAACCCAAAGTCAGCTGTCAAAGAGATGGTAAATTATTATTCACTCGTGTAAAAAAATACATATTATCTGATAAAGACAGACTCAGTAATTCATCACTTCACATCTTACCGAGTCTGATATTGTTATCCCTTGTCAATAAAATGTTGGAACACTGCAGGGCAGCAGGAAAAGAGGAAAATGTTAAGTGACACTGATAAGATACCTGACGAAATAGCCCTATGAACCTGTGGGAACAGACGAATTTGTTTCTACCTTGAGATCACGGTGCAGCACGCGGTTGCAGTGCAGGTAGTCAAGGGCGAGGAGCAACTGCGTGAACCACCGACACACCCTCTGGCATCACGGAAGTACCAAGAACGCAGAGGTAATGAGTTTTGGGTGCAGCTGTAATTAATTAATAAATACTACTAGCAGTACGATTTCGAAGGGCCTGTTCGCTTGGAGGAATTTGATGGTTCGGAGAAATGCTATAGTAATTTATGAGAGAAAATACTGTTTCGGATGAAAAAAGAAGCGGACCAAGCAGGATTAAGAGCACGCGAACGGGGCCGAGTCATTTACTTATCACGATTACAGTATTGTTTGTTACCTCTTCTGAGAATAGGATGCCCCTTGCCTTCTTGATCCTCTCGGCCCTGTGGTTCCAGTGAGAGTAATTTCAGGACATTATATATGCAGTTAAAACTGAATTCCTCACCGAGAAGTTATTTATTACAAAGGAAAAGGAAAAGAAAAGGAAAACAGAAGTTGGGGGTGGTAGCTTACATGTCCCCTCCTTCGCAGTAACTTGTGACAATGCAGACGGAGGTCCCCTACAACCACCGAATAAATCCAATTTTGAGTTCGCAGTCGACGCGACAACGTGCGGGCGGGAATGGGGAGCATTATTAGGAGTTCATTAGGATTGGGCAAATTGAATTTCGCACAGGAGGAATGTTTGTTTGTACCTCGTCCACCCATCCGTCCTTGTACTGGACGATGTACGGGTTGCTGAGGCTTGCCATCAGGGACATCTGCGGCAGCAGAAAAGGAACAGCCAGAAACGAAGAATAAATCGGGTGCGAATTTGAAGAAAACACCGAGTTCCTTTTGGCCCCGTCGTCGACCAACATTTACATGTTATTACTGCAGCTGGAGCCGCCTCCGCGTCCAGCGTCCTGCTGGGTGCATGCATATGCAGGCCGCATGGACAACATCGGCGAGGCAGGGCATCTGGAACGACTCTGCTTGGTGCTGGAGTGGGGGTGGGTGGGCGAATGAATCGGAGAAGGGTTTAGTAGGGTGGATGCTTACCTCCTGGTAAGCGGTCCGCTGGAACTTGTCGTTCTGCTTGGAGAGGCGGATCTTCTTCATCACGTACCTGCGCCGGAGGGGGCAAGCAACAACAGAGGGAGGAATCAGGAACCGGAGCACGTCGAGGGAGCAGAGCAGAAGCGAATCGACGACGCCGACGTGTGAATGTGAAAAAAAAGGAAAATCACCTCTTGCGCTCGGCCTTGTGGAGGACGAGGTAAGCTGAGCCGTAGGCGCCCCGGCCGATCTGCTCCACCACCTCGTACTGCTCCATCGCCCGCACCCTCGCTCGTCCGCCTCTGGCTTTCTCTCTCTGCTTGGAAGAGGAGGAGGAGGAGGAGGAAAGAAGAAGAAGAAGAAAAGAAGAAGCGGCGTGGTCTGGTCTACTGCGGCCGTTGCGAGAACTGGCGACCGGGGTGTGCCGTGTGCGTGAGGAAAGGAGAGAGGAGTCCCCGTCAGTGGAATGAATGATGGCGCCGCGGGGGCCTCGTGATTATTTGTGCGCGCGCGCGCACGCACGCGTGTGGCGAGGTGGGAACTGGGCTTGCGCGTGTGTCGTGTCGGGTAGCCTGTCCGCCCGGGCGGGCGGGAGACAGACCCCGTTCGTAATAGGTATCTTTTCAGCTAATCAGAACAGTATTTTTTTCACACCAAATCAATCAACGATACTTTAGTTGTAACTTATCAGCCAAAGCCCAAACGAACAGTACTATCAAGAGACGCGGAGACAGACGGGGACGGAGACCGGCCAACACAACGGGTACGGGACGGGAGGGGACGGAGTAGGAGGCCGCGGGGGCTACCGGCGGATACGCTGTTGCTGTGCTGCAGGCAGCGAACAGCATCGTCGACTCACGGTCACGGGGGGCCTTAATTGCCTCGCTGTGCGCGATTAGCTTGGCGATCACCGATCACGAGTGATTAGACGGAGGTCGGAGGGAGCGGTGGTTAAGGCAAGCGGGCAGGCAGGCGTGTTTTTTTTTTTTTGGATTCAAGCAGGCAGGCGTGTTGAACATGCAACTGACCAAACTCGTATGGTACGTACTAGCGATTGTTTTAATCATCGTCATCAATGGGCTGATGCGTATGTTTGGCCTCTCCCTCTCCCGTGCTGATGCGCTACAGCGTTGGCTGGACTGGAGTAGTACAGATTAGTGGTGGAGGGGACGTTGGAACGGTCGCGTCGGTGGGGTCCCGCCCTGACCCTTGTTGGCCCCTGGCGGTGGCGGATGGGCCGGCCCTTTCTTTCCTTTCCCACGTCTCTCTCTTCGTTCTTTTCTAAATTTTGCTGTGCTTATTAGTAGTACATGTCAAGGGACGGAGGTCGGAGGCTGCTCACTCACTGTTAGTGCCGTGGTGGTGGGGTTGCCGGGTTGGCATGCTTTTTCCTTGTGACAAAGCCACGAAGGTGCCCCACTTGGAACGAGACGAGGAGACCCTTTGCTCTCACACCCAATCTCGCTGAGTCACTGGAATGGATTGCAGTATTCCCCCACTTGCACACACCAAGGCCGCTCTTCACGAAGGGGTACTCGTCGTACTCTCCCCACGCTAGTGCAAGTACTAGTAGAGACTGTAGCCTTTTCGCACACCAAGTGCTCTGTGCCCGCTGGCCGTCGAGAATACAACTGTCACTGTCTCCGCGACTACATGTCTACGTAAGCAGCAGCTTGCCATATTTTGCCCGCAGGAACGTTCAAGTGACGAGGCCTTTTCCTCGGGGGGGGGGAAAAAAACTGACGAGGCCTTCTCTGCTAGATGCATGTGCTTCGCTTCAGTAAATCTGGGATGGCCTATTAGCTCCGTGCTCCCTCCGTTCTGTAATACTTAATCCATCCTAAATCGTAAGATGTTTAACTTTTTTGACATCAAGTTTGATCACTCGTCTTATTCAAAAATTTATGTAAAATATTATTTCTTTCGTCGTGGTTTGGTTTATTAATAAAAAATCTTCAAGAATGACTTAAATTTGACTATATTTACACAAATTTTTTGAATAAGACGAGTGGTCTTGAAACCAAAAAAATCAAACGTCTTACAATTTGGGATGGAGGGAGTAGTATTTAAAATTTGTCCTCAAATATAATACATTCTAAAGGATAAAAATCAATTTTACATTAAATACTTTTCATTTATCAACCAATCATCACTAATCATTAGCGTCTAATTTAGAAATAAAATAAGGGTCATACGTCTTGTATTGTATGTTCTACTTAATTTGTCTTAAAATTTTATAGAATACATTATATTACAGTATAGAGAGAGTACTAATTTAATTAATTAATAATTGCGGCGCTGTGATCGACCGGGCACAGGGCTCTGTGTTTATTCCCCCTCCTAAACTTAACCTCTGTCACATTGGATGTTTGACATATACATGGAGTATTAAATATATACTAATTACGAAACTAAATGCATAGATTGAGACTAATTTGCGAGATGAATTTTTTAATCCTAATTAGTCCATGATTTGATAATGTTGTGCTACAGTAACCATGTGCTAATAATAGATTAATTAACCTTAATAAATTTGTCTCGTGGATTACCAAGAACTTGTGTAATTGTTTTTATTATTATTATCCGTGCACTCGACGTGATACTTCCATATGACACCAATGCAACACCCTGAACTTTAGCCATTAAATTTAAACACTCGTCCGTTCCTGGTCCTCACGCGGCGGTACAGTACAGTAGGAATGTCTGTTCCACTGTATTAAAATGAATTGATAAATTAATTGAAACTAATTTGTTGAAAAAGAAAAATAATGATATACCGACAGCGAGGAGCCCTACACCAGCCGCGCTGCCCCTGCCACCGCCCTTCTCGAGACGCGTGCATGCGGCGGCACCACTCACCAGTCAGCAGAACCAGAACCAGATCTGTGGTCATAAAGTTCAATATCCAGATTTGTTCGGTACACTATTCATGACTACGGTACGTTGTGTGTGTGGTTTGTGGCTGTGCATCAAGGAACAGTAGAGTCGCAAGCGTCTCATGGCCGTGGACCCGTGGTGAAATCAATGGAAATGAAAAATCAGCACATCCTTCTCACTCACTGGTCACTGGCTCACTGCAATACAGCTGGTCGTACTCGTACTGAACACCGCCCCGTTCGCTTGTCTTTAATTTGACTTGTTCGGTTTATTTTTTTAGCTGGAAAAGTGTTTTTCTCTCACAACAATTCGATCGAACGGTGTTTTTAGCACAACAAATTGAAAGTTCGAACAACGAATTTTTCCAAGGTGTGTTTAGTCACATCGAGGACCTGTTGGCGAGGGCTCCATGGCGGCTCGGCTTCGCCCACAAGCCGTCACATCGATAGGTGCTGCCAGTGCCGAGCCACGGAGCTCGAAAACGAGCTCAAAGCCCGCCCACGGGCCGATAGGTGCCGATGCGGCCGGCCACGAGCCCAAAAACGAGCTCACGGCTCACTTTGGGTTTGTGAGAGGAGTAAAGAGGAGAGGGAAAAACGGCTCGGCTCCACAGGCCGACCCGGAAGGCCGACAAGGCCAGGCGGGGCCAAAAATCGGAGCTCCGCCAAATGGTCCCGAATCTTGCGATTGTGATGGAGCATTAAATGTAGACGAAAAAAAAACTAATCGCACAGTTTAGTTGGAAATCACGAGACGAACGTTTTGAGCCTAATTAGTCCATGATTGAACACTAATTATCAAATAAAAACAAAAATGCTACATTAGCCAAATTCCTAAATTTCGCAAACTAAACACAGCCTAAAAAAAACAAGCCAGTTTTTCGTGTTACGTACGTGACTCGCGCCGCAACAAATGCTGTCTCGTCGTTAGAACTTAGGACCCAAAGCTCAATCATCTTTTGTTACTGTACGTACATACTAGGAGTATACATGTCCCGGTTCTTTGAAACTTGATCATTTGAAAAATACTATTAGCTGTTGTGTTGGAAAAAAACCGAACAAGCCAAATATAAGGTAAGCCCAACCGTGAGACAGCCAATTTTGTTTTTTCATGTCAATAATATATATACTCGGGCTTTATTTAAATTTAAGGCCGTAGATATAGACTATTACTAGCACATATATGCGCTATAGCATGCATGCAATGCACAGCTCATCTCATCTCAACTGCTGGTACGTTGCTGGATGATGCACCCTAACACATACAGTACTATATGTATGCAGTATGTATGTGGACTTATGAGCTAACTAGACTCTTATCCAACACCTCTCTGATTTGCCAACATATATTAATCATTAGGATAGGAAAGGATTATCTACTAGCTTTTTTTTTGTATGTTATTACTAAAATATAAGGTGTTGTTGGGCCGGCCGGGCTGTTGATGCGCCTACAGCCTATTCGGTTGGCTAGATCATATCGTTACTGGTTTGTTTATGTGAAAGAGAAGTACTACTGGCTCATTTACGTGAATAGGAGCCATATGAGCGCAGCCCCAGCCCAGCGATCAGGCTACTAATCATGCATGCCACTTCTTTCGCCTGCTGTGTAGGCTTTTGACGCGGACCACCGCAGGGCCCTGGCCTAATCATTATGATACTACTCTAATAATATGCTGGTCTACCTAAATGGAAATTGGAAATGGGCCGGGGTTGGTTGGTTGATGCATGGCACCACCAGCAGTAATCGTCGATTCAGGTGACGGCGATTATATGGGACATGCATCCACTCATCTTAAACCGGTCACGCGCCACAACGATCGAGACAGCCCATCAGCTTATTTACCCGCATTTAGCATCCATCTAGCTTATTTACCCATATATGGTCTAGCTAGCCTCACCTTATTAGATTAAACCGATCACCTGCCTATGCCATCAGTCTGCCATTCTCTCTCTCTCTCTCTCTTTTCCTCATGGGCTTTTGTGGTGGTGCCAATGTCCACGCAATAACTGATTTCCAAAAATTTTCACCCAAAATGTCATATCGAATCTAATGTCCACGCAATAACTAATTCCCAAAAATTTTCACCCAAAATGTCATATCGAATCTTACGGCACATGCATGGAGTACTAAATATAGATGAAAAAAAAACTAATTGCACAGTTGGATGAGAAATCACGAGACGAAACTTTCAAACATAATTAGTCCATAATTAGACACTAATTACCAAATACAAACGAAAGTACTACAATAGCCAAAGCCAAAAAAAATCACGAACTAAACGCGCCCTAACACCCTCCCACCACAAACACACACACACTGACACACAAAATTTACCCTCCTTCTCACACACACACACACATCCTACCTATACCTTGCTTCTCTCACACCGTTCTCATTCGC